AGAGGGATAGACATAGAAAGATTGCATTCATCTGGGGAACATAAAGTAACAAAATAGGAGACTAACACCCAAGAATGGCCGAGATAAGTACTAGGAGGTTTACTCCATGGGTCTGAGGCCAGCCGCACATGCTAGGGGGAAAAGCCAGCTCAGATAGAGAAGGGAGCACCAAATAAAGGGTGTTGGGAGGATACTCCCAGGATGGGAGAAGCATGCTGAAAGTAGACTATAGACCAAACATGATTGCCACTCAATGCCTCTTTTGCAAACCACAACACCCAAAAGGAGAGAGAGAACAGAGGGGAATGCCCTGTCACAGAGGCAGGGTGGGAAGGGGAGAATGGGGGGTTGGAGAGATACTGGGATCCATGGTGGTGGGAAATGGGCACTGGTGGAGGGATGGGTATTTGATCATTGTATAATTGAGACCCAAGCACAAAATTTTTAAGTCTACAACTGTACCTCATGGTGTCTCACTAATAAAAATTTTTAAAAAAAAATTTAAAAAAAGGAAAAAAATTAAGAAGCTTCTGCACCTCAAAATAAATGAGGACCAATATACAAAGACACCACAGACTGGGAGAAATTATTTGCTCACCACTTATTTAATAGGTAAAGGTAAAGGTATAGGCCCTCCCGTTGATCGTCGATTTGCTCGAGCGGGCCCAGTAACGTCTCCATTGGAGACTTTGTTGTTAGTGTGTCTGGCATATTGAATACTCTCGGTAGCTTGCCGGGCTCTCCGAGAGGGGCAGAGGAATCGAACTCGGGTCGGCCATGTTGGCCGCTTGTAAGGCGAACGCCCTACCTGCTGTGCCTTCGCGATAGCACAGCGGTAGGGCGTTTGCCTTGCACGCAGCCAACTTATTTAATAAAGGGTTAATATTCAAGTTATATAAAATACTTGCGGAACTTTACAAGAAAAAAAAATCCAACCCCATCAAAAAAATGGAAAGAAGAGATGAACAGAAACTTCCTCAAAGAAGACATACAAATGGTCAAAGGTATATGAAAACATGCTCTGTATCACTAAGCATAAAGAAATACAAATCAAAACAAAAATGAGATATCATCTCACAACAGAGAAACTGGCACTTATCACAAAGAACCACCACCACCGTCGGTGTGGATGCAGGAGCGAAAGAAGTCCCCCTTCACTGCTGCTGGGAACTCAACTGGCCCACCTTTATGGAAAAGTTTGGTCATTCCTCAAAAACTAGGGAATTGAGCTTTCATACAACCCAGCAATACCACTTCCTGTAATATATCCCTAAACCCCCAAAACATAGTGAATAAAAGACAGCTGTACTCTTGTACTCATTGCAGCATAACAGCCAAAATCTGAACACAACCTAAGTGCCCAATTACAGATGACTAGATAAAGAAGTACATACACACAATTGAATACTACTTAACATAAAAAAAAAAAAGATGAAGCCATGCAATTTGCTGCTACACTCACAGATCGAAGGAGTATCATACGCTACATGAAGTTAGAGGGAGAAGGACAGAAAACAGAATTATTTCTCTCTTATTTGGGATATAAACAAACAGCTGGAGTGTAACAAATGCTCCAAAAAAATAGACACAAAGAGCATGATTACTGGTAGTCAGTAGGAATGCTGCTGCTGGGTTGGAGGTGACAAGGTGTAGGTCAGAGAAAGGAAATTATGACAATTGGAGAATGGGCTGCTGAAAGGAGATAAAGTGATATGCATAACAGTACCATAAACTAGTTTCCATGGGGGCAGGGACGGGGGGAATGGGGTGTTGTGAGGAAAATTGAGGAGATTTCTGAAGAAAAGTGCACAGGGATAAAGGGATTGATGCTGGAACACTGTATGCCTGGAACTCAACTGTGAATAACCATGTAACTGTGTAATTCAATGATTCAATTGAAAACATTTTTAAATAATTTAAATATGATTTATGAGCAGTTATTCTGAGTGAATTGAAACGAAATTAATTAAAAATAGATATTCATGGAGACATATAAATCCTATCTTTATTGTGTTTTCTTTTTTTTTGCTTCCAGGGTCACACCCAGTGATGCTTACGGGTTACTCCTGGCTCTGCACTCAGAAATTACTCCTGGCAGTGCTTTGGGGACCACATGGGATGCTGGGAATCGAACCCAGGTTGGTCACGTGAAAGGCAAATACCCTACCCACTATACTAACACTCTGGACCCTAAATCCTATCTTTAATGACACATAAAATGTGTATATACTTTTGGGTTTAAAGGACTCAAAACCGGATATATTCAGGACAGATATTAGTACCCAAAGACTAACTAGAATTATTTTTGCCTTTCGCCAAATTCTTTTGAAAATACTGGTAAAGTGGGAGACTCAACAATACATCTCTCAGAAAAGAGCACAGAACGACACCACAGCCATGTCTCCAGACCCCACACCAGGCTGTTTCATTAGGGGCACCCCAGAGGGGGAGGAGGAGGCTCCTCCAAGCCCCCTGGAGCCAGCCTCAGAAGCTGAAAACCTCCAGAGCTCAACCGCCGCCATGCTCACAGCTGATCTCCACACGCTCGAACAGGTCTCACCCATGAGGGAACCTCTTCCTAGACATCTCATACTTTATACCACTGATATTCCAAGAGTACCACACCACATTTGATGGGGTTTAGAGTAGAAGGCCTCCAATCTTAGAAGGAGATATATTTTTACAGATATCTATCTATCTTTCTATCTATCTATCTACCTCTCTCTCTCTCTCTCTCTCTCTCTCTATATATATATATATATATATATATATACATATATATGTAAGCACACATGGCTCAACCTTTAACAACTTGTTACTAATCTCTTAGAAGGGCTAAATGGCTTCTGAATGAAATACAACAATCTTCACACACTTTCTTCTAAGAAACCTTTTTTGTCTCATTTTTAGTGGCTTATTCACAGCAAACAATACAAAATAAATTATTTCAATTCTGTTTTAGAGGCAGGGGTTGGGGTTCGGAATGGAAACATCCGAAATATGGTGATGGGAAAGTGTAATGGCGGTGGGATTCGTGTTTGACTATTAAATGAATCAAATATTGTGAAGTATTTTATAAAAATAAAATTTAAATAAAAGAAAATACTAGTAAAGTGTAACCAACTTAAAGAATATATTTTATGGTACATCAAAATCACCAAATATAATTTAATGGCAAGACTTCTTTTGTTGTAGCATAAAGTTTACCATCTTAAGCATTTCGAAGTCTGTGGCTCTGTGGCATTAACTAAGTTGGTCAAAGGTGCACAGAGAAAAGAGATTTGAATGCTATATTTAAGTGAAAAATAGAGTAAATATTAACCTCTATTACCTAGTTCCCTAGATTTCCACTATTACCTAGTTCCCTAGATTTCCACTTGTCCTCATGTCAGTTTTTTTTTTTTTTTGTTTTGCTTTTTCGGGCTGGAGCGATAGCACAGCGGCAGAGCGTTTGCCTTGCACGCAGCCAACATGGCCGACCCGAGTTCGATTCCTCCGCCCCTCTCAGAGAGCCCGGCAAGCTACCAAGAGTATCTCGCCCGCACGGCAGAGCCTGGCAAGCTACCCGTGATGTATTCGATATGCCAAACACAGTAACAACAAAGTCTCCAATGGAGACGTTACTGGGCCCGCTCGAGAAAATCGATGAACAACGGGAGGACAGTGACAGTGACAGTGCTTTTTTGGTCACACTTGGCAATGCACAGGGGTTACTCCTGGCTCTGCACTCAGGAATTACCCCTGGCGGTGCTCAGGGACCATATGGGATGCTGGGAATCAACCCAGGTCAGCCGCATGCAAGGCAAACGCCCTATCCACTGTGCTATTGCTCCAGCCCCTGTCAGTTTTTAAGTAGGACAATTTTCTAATCTGTTTTCAATCCATTTGTCATTTATAACTTCAAAAAACTCTTTTTTTGGGGGGGAGGGGTAGCTTCAGATCTAGTGGTGCTCAGGTGCCTAAAGGGAGGGAAGGTCACACCCAGCAGAGCTCAGGGACAGAATCCAGGCCACCCACATGTAAGCATGTGCTCCAGCCCTTGGAGAGATTTCTCCTAGTCCTTGAATCTTCAAATCTGTTTGTTTTGTTTTGGGGTCAAGTTTAGAGGTGATCAGCGCTTACTCCTGGCTCCATGCTCAGGGATAACTTCTGGCTCTGTGCTCAAAAATAACTCCTGGCTCTGTGCTCAGGGCTCACTCCCAGGTCTATGCTCAGGGATCACTCCTGGCTTTGTGCTCAGGCCTCACTCGTGTAGGGGCCCAGGTGTCCATGTGGTACTGGGGATTGAATTCAGGGCAGTCATGCATGAGGCACATATATTATCTGCTGTAATCCCTCTCCATCTTAACTCCCCAAGAAGACAACAGGATTTTGACAATTCATGCTGAAGAATTTCACTGCCATCTCCAGTTCTATTAATTTCTATTCACTCCTATACTTACTTTTCCATATAATATGTTTGCTTCCCATATATTTTATCACATTTACTGACTCCTTTTCTTTCTTTGGTGTTGTGATTACTGCTCTTCAGACAACAGTAATCTCACTTACTGAAGAATTCTAAGCCAGAGAATATAAAAAATTTGCTATTTAAACAAAATCTTATATACAGATATTAAAAATAACATATTATGTCTAAATATCTACTCAGATGGTATTTTTTAACAAGTGGGTGATTTAAAACAAAATTTCTTTTCTTTCCTTTTCTTTTTTGTTTTGTCTATTTGGACCACACCTGGCAGTTGGTCTGGGCTCATTCCTGCCTCTGCATTCTGTGATTACTCTATGGGGTGCAAGATTAATGCCATGACCATTGTACTATCACTCTGACTCCTAAAACAAAATTTCTTACTAAAATATTCTAGGATTAGTATCCTGTTTATTGGTCTTCTCTGTGCTCTCATGATTGTCTTACTTATATTGTTAGAGAGTTTATGCTCGGAAAGGTTACTGAGTCTCCCAGGTTTCTTCAGTCTAGTTTAACTGGAAGGAGCACTTACCATGAACTTCGTCTCACCCTTGGACAGGGTATCTGTAATAAAGCCGACCTTCTGTAGCTGCTCCACAACACGATGTAACAACTTTGGCTGTAGAGCCACAATGAAAGAGTAAGATAAAGAGCAAATACTGTTACAAGAAAACATTTCTGACATGAGTGGTTTTTTTAATTATCCTATTCATTACAATAATTCATTACATTTAATATTCAAACACCAATCTACCCCGTGGACCTTCCCACCACCATAAGAGGAAAGTGTGTGAAGATCGTTGGGGATTTCATCCTGGGGTCATTAAGCCTTTGTATAAGAGATTATAAACAAATATGTTAAACCCAAACAACTGTGTGCTACTCTTGATACATCAGTGGGCTAGAGTATGAGAGGTCCAGGAATTATGAAATTTAGAATACGATTATAGAACAGATTCTCTAATGGGTAAGGCCTATGTCGCTCTCTTCTGGGAGCTTTATTTCTGAGTTTCTGGATGTTGGCCATTGATGAGATTATATGGCGCTGAAGGCAGTTTGTGGGTATGACTCCCACGCTACTGGAAAACTAGGGAGTTGTGGGGAAGAGGCCCAGTCCTGCTCCGATCGAGCTTGGAGATTTCAGTCATGGGTCCCATATACCTGAATTCTTCAGCGTTTTAACAAGATTCATTTTATCAATAAACCTTTTTTGTTATTCTTTTTTGGGGGGGAAGGCGGGCACACCCAGCTATACTCAGGGGTTACTCCTGGCTCTGTACTCAGAAATTACACCTGGTGGTATTTGGGGGACCATTTGGGATGCCCCCAGCCCTGCCAGGAGTAATCTCTCAGTGCAGAGCCTCGAGTAAGCTCTGAGCAGTACCAGGTGTGACCCTCCACCACCACCACCAAAAAAAGAAAGAAATTCTCACCACAAGAAAATATTTTCTAACTATATACAGTGATGAACGTTAACAAATTTATGATCATTTTGCAATACTGAATCATTAAGCTATATATCTATAGCGAATTCAATGTTACATGTCAATCATAATTCAATTTAAAACATTTTAAAATTTGCCTTCATGGGTTTTCTATAAGAGGTCAAGTTTATTAGTATTCTAGAAAACTACGATAAACAATAATTCTGAAAATATTTCACTACTTAAAATCGGTCTTTTCAAATCTCAGAAGAAGAGATCAACAAGCTACAGCGATGCCTCCAGACCCTATGCCAGGCTGAACCTCATCTGGGACAGCCTGGAGCCAGTGGTTGGTAGTGGGACCTATTCCAAAGAGCCCAGCAACTGAAAACCTCCATAACCCAATTGATGCCATGCTCATGGCCGACCTCCACAGGCTTGGATGAGCCTCATCTAGGAGTAAATCTGCTGAGAAATCCAGGGATGCAGGTTTTGTGACCAAAATCTCCAAGCTCTCATGGAGCTGGGAATGGGTGACCTCCCCCCATCTCCCTGTGCTTCCAGGAGCCTGGCAGTCACACCCATGCTGCCTCTGATGCCATATGAGCTCATTAAGGGACATGATCCTGAGACTCACTAATAAATCTAGGAAGAGATCAACAAGCTGCAAAGATGCCTCCAGACTCCAAAGTGACCATGCAGCTGAAAAATTAACTCCAGCTATATCAACCTATTTAAAATTTTAGAGTTTCTGGAGTGCACAACCGCAAACCATCTCATACTTTACACCACTGATATACCAGGAATAGTACACCACATTGGATGGGGTGTAAAGTAGAAGGTAGAGGAATCGAACTCGGGTCGACCAGGTCGGCTGCATGCAAGGCAAACACCCTACCCGCTGTGCTATCACTCTAGTCTGTGTTCGACTCCTCGGCCTTGGATTCCTCTGCCCTTCTCAGAGAGGCTGGCAAGCTACCGAGAGTATCTCGCCCGCATGGCAAAGCCTGGCAAGCTACCCATGACGTATTCAATATGCCAAACACAGTAACAAGTCTCACAATGTTTCTGGGCCCACTCGAGCAAATCGATAAACAATGAAAGAACAGGACAGGACAGTGATATTAGCACAAAAGGTTCAACCTGCAACAGCATGTTAGTAAATCTCTTATACAAGGGCTTAATGGCTCCAGACTAAGATATAACAATTTCTTTTTTCTAAAAAACTTTTTTTGATCATTGTTAGAGGATTATTCATAATAAGCAATATAAAATAAATTACTTAGGGACTGCTATTGGAGCAGGCTTGGGTGTGGTTAGAAAAATTCAAAATATTGGTGGTGGGAAGGTATAATGGTGGTGGGACTGGTGTTGGTATATCCAATGTAATAAATTATTGCGAATGTAAAAACCCGTCTTTATACAATTCCTTGTGCAAATATCTTCAACATCTTACTTTGCCTTTCACAGAATTCAATCAGTACAAAGTACTTCAACTGACTTAAAAATAAAAACTTACCCCAAAATGAGTGAACTATCAGAGAGAAAACTCTATTTACTGCTGTGTAAAACTGGTTGCATTTGATAAAGTTATGACGTACCTGTTTGGTTGATTCAGAGGTAAAACTTGGATGGGTCAAAAGAACATCCATGTCACCACTCGATTCTGCACCTATGATTAAATAAAAAAATATATCGGATTCTTCAGACACATTTATCAAGTAGGCAAACATAGAACTAAGATAATGCATACACAAAACACTGATACTATTTATAGCCCAACTTTCTATTTTACTGTCTTTAGATATAGAATTAAAAGATTTCAATTAGTTCTATCCATATATTTATGAAAATAGCACTATCTAGAATAACAAGTTAGTAACAGTAGTATACATTGTATACAATTACCTCATTTACATATTAAATACACCTAAGTAACTACTTAATGAGTAAAAACAACATTTAAAAAAATATTTATTTTGGCTTTTCAGTTCACACCCAGTGATGCTCAAGAGTTACTTCTGGCTCTGTGCTCAGGAATCACTCCAGATGGTGCTCAGGTGACCATATGGAAAATCGAACCATGGTGAGCCACGTGTAAGGCCACTGTACTATCACTCCAGCCCTTAAAAACAGTATTTTACTTTGAGTTTTTGAGTCATATGTGGAAGTTCAGGAGCTACTCCTTTCCGTGCTCTGGAGCCACTCCTGGGGGTTGGGGCACCAAGCCTTGCTGGGAATCCAACCTGGGACTGCTGCAATCATAGCATGCTTAGCCCAGTAAGCTCTCTCCAGTCCAAACAACATTTCCGTTTGGTGTTTGGATATACTAACTAGTGGTGCGCAAGTACTACACCTGGAGGTGCTTTGAACTACTGTCATGGGTGTAGCTGCATACAAGGCAAGTGCCTTACCCTTTCTGTCCTATTTTCTCAGCCCCCAAAAACATTTTTACAAGATCCTTTGATACCCATCTATGGATGAGGGCAATAGTTGAAAGGTCTGACATGCAAAGGGCCTCAATCTGGTTCCTAGCATAACACTGCAATGCCAGCTCTGAGGGCCCCTGAGTGTCACTGGGGTGGCCCTGGTGGCCCTTTGCCCTGCCAGGCCCAATAAAACGTTAAACCATTTTGGGTTTTTTTTTTAGCCAGTGAGAAGAGCAGACTAGAGTGCACACTTTGCATGGGCTGACCCAGACTCAATCCCTGGTACCACATGGCCTCAGAACATCAGTGCGTGCAGAGAACCCTGTAGGCCAGAGAGACCAGGTACAATAGGGCCACTCTGGATTTAAAGAGAACAGGTAGGGTCACTATGCAGCTGGAGAGACCAGGTATGTTAGGGCCACTCTGAAGCTACAGAGACCAGGGGGCAGGCCACATGGGGCTGACCCAGGATCCATCCCTGGTACCCCTGATGGGCTCCTGAGCACAGAGCTAGAAGTAACCCTTGAGAACTGCTGAGAGTGGCACCAAGACAACAAACAAGATGGTGGGCAGGATCGTGGTCAATCCCTGGCACTATTAGGAGCAGTCCCTGAGTACTACTCAGTGTGGCCCCAAAATCAAAGGAGTGGAATGGGGGGGGTGGGGGAAGAAAAGGGGGACTGTACTGGAGTGAAACAAGGGAAGCACCCTGAGGATGCAACAGAAGTTGAGATAATCAAGTATGGAATACTTCACAACTGAAGGTGAGAGCCAGTGCTCCATAGACTGATGTGGAAAGATAGTATGTTTTCACCCATTACTTTTCTTTGGGGGGGGGGGGGGAGAATGAGATCCACTGTATTTACTGCTTTTGGCATATCGAATATGCCACAGATAGCTTGCCAGGCTCTGCCATGCAGACGGGATACTCTTGGTAGCTTGCCAGGTACTTCGAGAGGGATAGAGGCTTTTAGGGCAGCCTTTAATCGCCCTTGCAGGTGTTCCCACGGTTCAAACCATATTTGAACCCCATAAAATATGGTGTGGTAATAATGAAAAATGGGTATTAAGTATCTTATGATGTTTCGTGCGGCTGCAAAGCAGCCGTGCGGTCCGGAAAGTGGCCTGGAGCATGGTGGCAGCTGGGTAGTGGAGGTCGACCGATGACGTACTTATCCGGCTCTGGCAGGGTGGGTCTTCTGGATGTGATTCCTGGGTCACTGGATATTGGTGGAAGCAGGCAGAGGATCTTTGTTTCTGGGTCCCGTTGAGTCTGGAGTCCAAGGTCACAAAGTTCCGCTTTACCTGTTTCTGACCAAGACAAGGTCAGACCTGAAGATCTGAAGAATCTGCTGCCAGTACTCATCAATACACTGGCTCGGCTCTTCACACGCTACCTGTCTGAATACAAGGTTCCGTCCCAGTGGAAAACCAGTAGGACTTCTACTGAATAAGAAGGGAGACATCCATGACATTGGCAACTATTGCCCAATCAGCCTTTTGTCTACAAGCTGTTCACTAGAGTCATCCGGAATAGGATTGGCAGAACTAGATGAAGGACAACCATGCGAGCAAGCCGGGTTCCGAAAAGGATTCAGCACCATCGACCATATCCACACGATAACCAAGCTCACTGAGGTTTCTCGGGAATTCAAGATGCCGCTCTGTCTAACAGTCATTGATTTAAAGGCCTTTGATTCTGTTGAGATTGAAGCGGTCATCAAAGGACTAGCCAAACAGTGCATTCAAACTCAGTACATCAGGATCCTCCATGAGCTATATTACGGATTCAATACCATTCTACAAGGATCTCACCATTCTACAAGGAAGTGATCATCGACGTCAAGAGAGGGGTTCAGCAGGGTGATACCATTTCACCTAAACTCTTCAGTGCCACCCTCAAGAATGTCATGCAAGGACTGGAATGGGATGGAATGGGAGTAAAGATACATGGTCGGTAACTACACCGCCTCCGCTTCACTGATGACATCATCCTAATAACACCAAACATTAGCCAAGCAGCACAACCGTGAGTGTGGAAAGGTCGAACTGCAGCTGAATCTCACAAAGACAATGTTCATGAGAAATGGACTAGTTCCTGATGTTCCATTCGCTCTCCATGTAACAAACATCTCCGAATGCAGCAGATATGTGTACTTTGGTAGAGAACTCAACATAACAAACGACCTAACACCTGAGTTGCACAGGAGGAAGAGAGCGGCATGGAACACCTTCAAGAGCATCAAAGAAATAGCTAAGAGGACGAAGAATCTCCGGATCCAGGCACATCTCTTCGACTCCACCATTCTTCCTTCATTAACATATGCCTCAGAGACCTGGACCCTACGAAAACAGGATGAGAACGCTATTCGGGTCTCCCAAAGAGGAATCAAAAGAGCTATGCTTGGAGTATCACATTTCACTCAAGTGAGAGAAGGAGTTCAGAGTTCCGACCTCCATCAATGATTGAGAATCAGGGATGCTGTCTCGTTTGCCAAGGCGTCAAAAATTAGATGGGCTGGACACGTAATGCAATTTGGAGACGACCGCTGAACTAGAGCTGTTACCAACTGGATTCCACGAGACATCAAAAGATCGTGTGGCCGCCCACCTACGAGATGGTCAGACTTCTTCGTCAAGACCCTGAATGAATAGTTTGAGGCTCTTCGTATTCCTGAAGTGAGCAGACGCCATTCGGCTACACTAGCACACAACAGGGATGAATGGAGACATTATTGGCGCCCGCCTGAGCAAATCAATGAGTAATGGGATGTCAAGTGATCAAGTGACTTTTTGGCGGGGAGACATCCCCAGTAGTACTGAGGGTTACTAGAGCTCTACCTGACAATGCTCAGTGCTCCTGGGCTGGTCCCAGTGATGTGTTTTTTTTCCCCCTGGTTTGTTATTTGTTAGCAGTCTGTGCCTGGGTGGGCTGTACTATGTGCTTTGTTTGCTGGAGGTTCCCCGAGCTGGGGGTAGGTCCCAAGCACTGCTTGGTGTGCCCCTACAAAAACACCAGTCACCACAGTGAGGTGAGAGATGCACAGCCCGGGGCTTACTCTGAGGAAATGCAGTGTAAATTAGAGCACAGGGGCACTCGCTGTGATTGGGTCATTTCCCCATGCTCTTATGTTGGCCGTTGGCAATAAGAGAGTTATTTCTTATGGTCGCTGACAATACTTCCTGAGCCTTTAAAGAAGCCAGAAGTGAAGTATTGGCTTTGGGCATGGTGACAGCCACAGATGCCATTTTCAAAGATTAAGTGGCCTCTGAAATGCTGCCTCCTCTTCTGGGAGCTTAATCCCACAGAAGCACTATCTGCACTGTCTGTCTGCAAGCCGTGTCCCTGTGATGCCATTGTTCAGGTCTATCAATCACTTCTTTTTATAAATAGAAGGCTTTGGCATTGAACCCCTAGTTCTGCCATATGGATCTTGGGAGAAGAATCATCATGTTCCATGGTTCTGCGGAATCCATTCACCTTCCTGCCCCTTCACAGTTGCCATGGGCTTGCTGGGCCGTCCTGGCCTCTGGGTTCCCACGGCTTACAGTGGCACTTGCCAGCAGTCATGACCTGTAGTTGTGGCATTTACCTGCCCCCAGGTGGTGTGCGGGACAGCGTGCACGGGGACGAGGCTGGGCTGCTCAGATCCCACACCATGCAGACGTGGCATTCTGTGCTGCAGAACCATCCTTGCTTTCTCTCACTGATTATTGCTGCTTGCTTAAAAGCAGGATGGCTCTGATTGCACTTAGAAAGTCATTTTGTTTTTGTTTTGTCTGGTCATCAATTTTACATTCTTCTATTGCACAGAGCTGAAGTCATCCTGAACAGTTTTTTTCCAGTAACTCTGAAAGCCATTAGGCTGTGTAGCTCCAGAAGCTAAGAGTATGAACCTTAGGACCAGTCGTTCTAGGGGTTCCCAGCTCTGCCACTTAGCAGTATGTCTTTGGAGTGGGTTTTTTTGGTGGGGGGCTGTGCGAGGGGGTGCCACTCCTGTTAATAGTGGGATTTATGCCAAGCTCAGTACTGGGGTCACTCATGGTGGGGGTCCTCAAGGGGCAATATTCTGATTTGATCACTTCTGTAGTATTTATTAATTGACATTCTGGTGTGGAAACGTGTTCACTCATTTCCCCCATTCTTTACCTACATGAAAGGTCTCATGGTCCTCTGTTTCACGCTGTGGGGAATAGAAGCTGTTACAAGTGTTTGTTTTGATGCTCAGATACCAGAGTGGCCCGTGGCCCCTCCAGCCATCTCCTGTGTTCTCTTGACAAGCCTTCATTATTCTTTGAACACATCTTTGTTTTCTGGCATGGTAGACTGTCCCAGCCCCACCTTCTTTTTGAACATTCAGAGCCTTGGAAGCAGCCTTGAATCCTTGCCCCAATTCCTTTTAGTGGAAAGGGGTACATAGGAGCCCAGAACTAGGTCCTCGGTAAAATCGGCATCCGTGGGGTGCCCCTGCACCTATACCTTCTTATTGGAAAGAGCTCGGTGTTTGAAGTCCACACAGAGATAAACACACGGAAGTGAATGAGTGATGCAGAAGCACAGGCTGCTCAGCTCCGAATGCAGAATGCATTAGTAATGATGTTTTCACACCGGTATCTCGGTTCCAGCTTCACAGCACAGGGCTCTCTTGGTCTTTGTCATTTCATGTCGGGCTTGGCCGTGGGGAGGGGGCACATGCCGTGCTGGAAACTGAAGCAAACCATACCCCACACACATATCGGGTTCACTCACACTAGCCTTCCCTTGTCTGTATTTAAAATTATTTTTTGTTTGGGGGCCACACTTGGTGGTGCTCAGGGATCTCTCCTAGCAGTGCTTGGGGGATCCTAGGGGGTGCCAGGGATCAAACCTGGATTGGCTGTTTGCAAGGCAGGTGCCCTACCCACTGTACTATTGCCCCGGCCCCTGTGGTTCTTTTTTTAAAAATTATTTTTTGGGGTGGAGGGTTTGAACCTTTACCTGTGGGGTTCCAGGACCCTGTGTGATGGCGGGGGTCAAACCAGAGTTGCCCCAAGTACCTTGAGCACTAAACTCTCTCCCTGTCCTGTAATTCTCTTTCTGACAGCGAGAAGAAGTACAGCTTCATTTCCACAGTCTACTTATGATCAACCAAGCTAAGAATATGCATATCATAGTTTTAGAATTGCTACTTCATTTTCTTTCTTTTGGAAGGAGTGCTTCCTGGACAGTGCTTGGGGGCCCAGAGGCCAATCCTGGAAGCCCACAGCCCTGCATTTCAGTGCTGGTTGGGGCCCTCCAGGGCCACATCTGGTGGTGCTGTGGGGGCCTGCTGGGGGAGGGGGATGGTCAGGCGCATGCAAGGCATACACCCGAACCTTTTCTATTCAGTTAATTGTGAAAACAAAGCGACCAACTCAAATTCAGTGTTTGTTTATAGTTGTTTAGTTTAAGGGTCGGAGGAATTGAACCCGGCTCGGCCGGACTGGCTGCACTCAAGGCAAACGCCCTACTGCTGTGCTATTGCTCCCGGCAAGCTACCGAGAGTATCTCGCCCGCACGGCAAAGCCTGGCAAGCTACCCATGATGTATTCAATATGCCAAACACAGTAACAACAAGTCTCAAAATGGAGATATTACTGGGCCCGCTCGAGCAAATCAATGAACAATGGGAGGACAGTGACAGTGACAGTTATTTGTTTGGGCACCACACCTGGCCATGTACAGGTGAATCCTGAATCTCTGGTCTGGGCTCAGAGATCACTTCTGGTGGGGCTTGGGGCACTATATGGGGTGCCAAGGATGGAACCCTGGTCAGCTGCATGTAAGGCAAGCATCCTACCTGCTGTACTTCTGCTATGGACCTTGTCCATGATAAATCTCTGAGCAGTAAAAAGGCATGGAAATTGGGCTGAAAAGACAGGCTACACATTCGACTCCTGGCACTGCTTTTGACCCCAACCCTGACACTGTTGGGTGTGGCCCCAGGAACATGGTCCAGGTGGAATTTGAGCCTTGCCAGGATGCCGTGGTTGCCTGGAGCACCTTTGGGCCCCAGTGACACTATATTCCCAGGCCCTACCCAGTTGGCTGAGTAAGGATGGGAATGGCGCCCTGGTCACCTGAACATTGCTTGGGAGGTCCCTAAGTTTTTTTAATTTAAAAGGTATGCATATAATTAATATGTTAGCTATGTGAAAAGGAGAAAGAGGAAGAACTCAAGAATTTATATTTAAACTATGTCATAGTTACATGCAGAAACACTGAAAGAATACATTAACAAGTGGTTGTAAATGAGGAGTGATGGGAGGCAGTAGAGACTGGATAGGTTAAAAGAAAGAGTTCTCAGTAAATGCACTTTTAAATAATAAATCAGTATAATGTAATAGTTCAGGGGCTTGGAGCACCTGTCTTTCATATGGTCACACGTTCAAATCTCTGGTATTCCATATACACAAAGTATGATCTAGCTCTGCTGTCGGTGACCTCTGATATAACACGCGATTTCAGCTGCAAAATCGTGGAGTCTGCAAGCACCACACAAAGGTACATAGCCCAGAAAGCACTGCATCTAAAACAGATGTAGGTGCCAGAGTCAGGCAGCGCAACCTCCAGAGGGCACTGCAGTGATCCTGAGAAGCAGCAGCAGGGCTTATGTGCCTCCAGGGAGCCTTAGCGGGCAACTGAGAGAGTGTAACTCAATGCACAGTGCAGCTAATGTGTGATCTTTGATGGGTACACAGTTCGACAGGTGTATATCCTCTGATCACTGCAACAGCAACAACCCCCTCACCCACCCAAAAAAAGGCAGGCAGGAAGGAAGGAAGGAAAAAAAGAAAAAAGGAAAGGTGGGAATGTTTGGGTTTTTGCACCACATGTGGCAGGGCTTACTTCTGTCTGTACCTGTCATCACTCCGGGCAGGGATCAGGGGACTTATGGTGTGCTGGGGATCCAACCTGGGTTGGCTGATACAAAGCAAACACCCCACCTGCTCCATCCTCTAGGGGGAAATTTTTTTTTAAAGACCATCTGATCCCTGGCACCAGATACAGTCTCCCAAGCACTGCTAGGACTGATCCCTCAGTGCAGAGGCAGGAACAGCCCTTGAACACTGCTGGGTATGGCCAAATCCTTCCCCCAAAACAAAAAACAACCCAAAAGATCACATAGGGACAGACTGGCCTCAGAACCCAGTCTTGGGCTAAGGAGTTCATTCAAAAGACTGTAGTTTCTAGTGAGATCCCCAGCACTGCATGACCTCCCAAGTTTTACCTCAGCACCAAACCAGAGGTAGCCCCTGACCATCACCAGGTGTGGCCCCCAGATCAGAAAGAATCCAGCTCTGGAACCAAAGAGACAGTACCAAGAGTAATGTGCACAGCTTGCACACGGCACAGCCAATTTCAATGCCTAGCAATGGATATGGTCCCCGAAGCCCAGTCAGGAGATTCCTAAGCACAGAGCCAGGAGAAAGCCCCAAGCACTGCTGGATCTGACCCAAGACGAAGAAGAACAAAAGAATCCAGGTCTTTTGGTCCCTGTACAATGCTCTTTCTACTTATCAGCAACTATTTACCACTGCACTCTCTCTGCAGCCCCATTTTACATCTTTTTAATATATATTTATCACACACATCATGGGGCTAGAGCGATAGCACAGCAGTAGGGCGTTTGCCTTGCACACAGCCAACATGGCCAACCTGAGTTCGATTCCTCCGCCCCTCTTGGAGAGCCTGGCAAGCTACCGAGAGTATCTCGCCCGCACGGCAGAGCCTGGCATGCTACCCGTGACGTATTCAATATGCCGAACACAGTAACAACAAAGTCTCCAGTGGAGACATTACTGGGCCTGCTCAAGCAAATCGATGAACAACGGGAGAACCGTGACAAACATCATGGAATTTTTAACACCAAGAATAACAGCACAAATAACCTAAAATTAAAAAGCACATTACCTCTTCTGAAGCTGCCACAGACTGTAGCAATGTACTCAGAATCCACTTTACTAACTTCATTTAGTACAATAGCCTAATAGAAAAAAGATCATAAATCAGTATTAGAAAATGGCTTTTCACCATGTGATATTCTTAATTCTAATAAAAAGAATACAATTCAGCACACTCTTACTTGCATTTGTAACATCTCTTCTCGAGGAATTCTTTTCTCAAAATCCTCAAAATATCTATAAAGACAAAATAAGTAGAGAAAAAAAATTTGTGAATGACTGCATTCATTTGTGATATATAAAAATATGTATATAGTAGAAGACTAAAATCCATGGTCAGGGAAAACAGGGGTTAGGAGGACTGGTCAATGGTTGGAACCACAAGTGTGTGTGGGGCTTAGGGTAGGTGAGATAGAGAAGAGACCGCTATGACAATAATAGCTGGGAATGATCATGCTGGACAAGAACTGAGGGTTAGGGATATTTTTTATAAACTTCCAGTATCAATACTGCAAACCACAATGCCCAAAAGGGGCGGGGGGGAGGGAAGACAGAGACAGAGACAGAGAGACAGAGATACGGGGGCGGGGGGAGGGAAAGCAACTGCCATAGTGGCAGGCAGGAGGTGGGATTGGGGGGTGATGGGAGGGATCTTGGGGATACTGGTGCTGGGAAATATACACTGGTGGAGGGATGGGTGTTGGAACACTGTATGACTGAAATCCAATCATGAACAGCTGTGTAAGGATATATCTTACAGTAATTCAATAAAAAAGTTTTAAAAAAATTTTCTGTGAAATTTATGTTTTCTTAGAAGTTTGTTTTCCAAAACAAATATACTTAAGCCAGCAAATTGTTAAAGAAAAATCAAGACTAAAATTCATTAAGATGAAAATAGTGAAATCAGAGGTATTTAAAATCCTTATCTTGGACCAAAATCCTTATGTGTCTTCATTTATTATATTTTCAGATACTCCCATTAAATATACTCATATATTTATAAATATATAAATTATATACTCACATTTCGATATGCCAAACACAGTAACAAGTGTCACAATGGAGACGTTACTAGGCCCGCTCGAGCAAATCAATGAACAACGGGAGGACAGTGACAGTGACAGTGACATATTCACATATGTAGGCTAGGCTGTTTCCAAATATGACTGTTCCCATTTGGCAAGTCAAATGTTACAGTTTATTTATTGTTTTTAAGTCCTATAAGCATTTAAAAATATTCTACAACATTAATGAACCCAGAGAGTATACTAAGTGAAATATGGTAATCATAAAAGACCAAATTTTTATGATTTAATTTATAATAAATATCTACATTAGACAAATAAATCACGTCAGTATTTGAGTGTCTGCAGAGAATGCAGTGAGGGCATGGGACGCTGGCAGGAATCAGGAGGGACTGCTAAGGGGACAGGCAAACTCTTCCGGTGGAAACAAAAATGTTCTAACATTGAAGTGAGCTATATGAATATATAAAATTCCACTGGCTTTTACACTTTACATGGGTGAGCTATATCACATATAAATTACACTTCAATAAGCTGCAATAAAAATATTATCTTAGTAAGATGTACCATTTAAGAATGCTAAAGAACTTGTACTAAACCAATTCTTACAACAACCAAGTTCTGCAGATCTCTACTACGTAAATGCTAGGAAAATAAGAACTGTACCATCCTGATCTCTTACTGGGTAACAGTTTTGCAAGGACAACATAAGTTAAAGAAATAAGCAAAAATATTCAGAGAGTCAAGAAGACTGCATTGCCAGAGGTTGGGAGGCAGTTGAGCAGCAGGACACTTTCCAAGCACACGCGAAGCAGTAAGTTTGATCCCCAACATCACACACTCACACATCCCGAAACGGAATAGCTATCAAATTTTGTTTATTTTAATTGTTTTTGAATTTGGGGGCTCTGCAGGGCTTATTCCTGGCTCTTCAGTGCTCAGGGGACCATGTGTGACATTGGGGATGGAGTCCAGCTCAGCTGTGTGCAAGGCAATCGCCCTGCGTGCTGGACTATCTCACTAGTCCTCACTATAGAATCTCTGCTACTCCAGTGCTTTGTACAATGTAAGCATGAAATAAACACCAGCGGGCTGACTGATGCACTTGGGACTATTTTAAGACAAGCTACCCAAGAGAGCCAAAAGAATGAGGGGAATATTCAAGCAACCAAAAGAAAGTAAAGCAATGACAAAAATGTGTGAATACAGGCATAATCTCAACAGGTACAATAGGATAATGGCTGTATTTAGCTAAATTTGAAGAACTATCATGGTCTACTAAAGTTTAACCATAAAACTTTTGATTTTATAGTTCATAAGACCAGTAGTAGTAAGACCAGTAGTCCTCTCGTTGTTCATCTATTTGCTCGAGCGGGCCCAGTAACATCTCCATTTTTTTTGAGACTTGTTGTTACTGTGTTTGGCATATTGAATACCACACGGCCACACGGGTAGCTTGCCAGGCTCTGCTGTGCGGGCGAGATACTCTCGGTAGCCTGCCGGGCTCTCCGAGAGGGGCGGAGGAATCGAACCTGGCTTGGCCAGGCTGGCTGCGTGCAAGGCAAACGCCCTACCATCGCTCCAGCCCGGAGTGATAGAATGGTGGGTAGGCGCTTGCCTTGCAAGTGGCTGTTCCCATGTTCGGTCCCCGATACCACGTACTTTATAGTTCATGTCAAAGGAAAATATTCTCCGTTATAGCCATGCCGCCGAACTTCGATCCCCCCACTTCCTGCGCCAAGCTCTTCATTTGGGGCACCCAGGAGGGCGGCAGGTGAGGCCCCTCCCATTCTCAAGGGACCCAGCCCAGTACTCAACTCCAGTACTCAACTACCTCCAGGCTCACGGCCGCTCTCCACATGCTCGGGCCAAGCCTCACCCATGAGTGAGCCTATTCCTTGACCATGCGATGAAATCTCATACCTCACACCATTCATACTCCAAGAGTAGCACACCACATTGATGTGGTTTAAAGTAGAAGGCAACCAATCTTAGAGGTAAATATACAGATATGTATGTGTGTGTGTGTGTGTGTGTGTGTGTGTGTGTATATTAGCACAAAGGGCTCAACCCTTAACAACATATATCTTTTATAGAAGGGCTTAATGGCCCCTGGGCGAAATACAACAATCTTCACACACTCTCCTCTAAGGAAAGTTCTTTGGAGCATTTTCAGCAGTTTGGTCATAATGAACAATACAAAATAAATGATTTCAGTTCTGCTTTGCGGCAGAGGTTGGGGTTTGGGATAGAAACAAACAAAATATGGTGGTAGAAAGGTGTAATGGTGGTGGGACTGGTGTCTGAATATTAAATAAAATTGAATATTGTGAACTACTTTATGAAAAAAAATAAAATTTAAAAAATAAAAGAAAATATTTTCTTACTTCAGCCCAATTCGCTGATGATGGTTCAATTTATCTTCATTTTTTCGGAGGTCTGTATAGAAGATAAAATATCTTTATTATGAGGTAAAATTTAAACATTTTGAGTGGAGAAGAAATGCTAAATTCAGTATTCCTTTTTACAAAAAACTATCAAGAAAATACATAATGATTCTGAAAAGACATGAAATATTTTTAGATATTAAGAACTAGATGAAAATTTTTAAGTCAATACAGGAAAACTTCTAACTTCCTGAATCAAAATTTCAATTATAGTTATAGAAAATAGAAAAAATATACATGGGTCATAGCAAATTTCACCCACTACAAAAAAATTGCAGGCTTATAAGAACGATATTGCTGCCCAAGCACAAAAGTTTGTAAGTCTACAACTTTACCTCATGGTGTCTCACTAATAAAAATTTTAAAAAAAGAAATATACTCATTTTATCAAAAAGTTATACTTTACTGTTCTCATTTCTTCCAGTAGGATCTATGAAGTATTTTCAAAATAAGCAAAATCAAAGTAATTACTATATGTAAATGTTTATAATACTGTAAGTGGAGTTCATAATGCCTCTCCTATTTTTCCTCAAAACTCCTGCTGTATATAATAAATAGCACTGTAGCACTGTCCTCCCGTTGTTCATCGATTTGCTCGAGCTGGCCCAGTAATGTCTCAATTGTGAGACTCTGAGCAGATGGATATAGCTCATAACAATGCCCCCCACCAAAAAAAAAAAAGGTGGGCTCTGAGGTTATAAAGGGTCATCATATGCCTGACCCAGGGTAGGAATTATTTCCTACTTTATTTTTTGCTTTGCGGTGCTAGGAATTTGAACTAAAGTCTCTCACATACACATTCTATTCTACATAAATTATTATTATTTTTTAATTTATTTATTTATTGAATCACTGTGGGAAAAATTACAAAGCTTTCAAGTTTAGGTCTCAGTCATGCAAATATCAATCACAATTCCCTTTACCAATACTTATTTTTCACCACGAAGAACCCCAATGAACCCCCATCCCCCAACCCCCCCCAATGTCTGTGGGGTAGATGAATTCTAGTTAACACTCTGTCTACTTTGACTAGCTTCATTGTTTTGATAAAAGTTGCACCATTATTATTTAGACTTTACCCCCCCCCCCAAACTCAGCCATGCTGAAAAAGCATTGTGAAATGATCTGCTTTCTACAGCTGGGTTCAAGAATTAAATGATGTCGCGCGGCTGCTATCGCGGCCGCGCGGTTTTGGATTTCTGCTATTTTATTATTTATTAACCCTGCAAGTATTTCTACTGAGAGTCAGATAATTAAGAGATTGGTCTCTGTGCTTCTGGGGCCGTGGTCGTGCCGGAGAGCCGCTCGTGGGGGGCAACTGGTGACCTTGGTCGGGCGTGAAGGACGGGCCGGAGCGCCCCCCGTCCCATGAGGTATCCATCGCGCGCCCACCCCCGGCTCAGACCTGCTCTCCACCAGGCTCCCATGCGGCCGCCATCTTTCTTTCCAGAGACCTACATAAATTATTTCTATGGCTTCTCAAAGGCTATAGCTGGAGAATGAACAGAGAAAAATAGAATGCTTGCGACCTGAACGCCACTCCAGGTCCAGACTCACAGGAGGTAAAAGCAAAGTTGAAAGCATCTCTCTCCAAGATTTGTTCCTTTCACAATAATGATGATAGTGGACAAGACTGCCCATTTACACGCATTTGCCACAGACACTGAGTACCTCCTCATTGTCCTCCTCCTTCTTGTTTTTTGGGGGCCACACATGGCAATGCTGGGGGGTTACTACTGGATCTTCACTCAAGAATTACTCCTGGTGGTACTCAGAGGACCATATGAGATGCTGTGGATCGAACCCAGGTCACCCTCATGCAAGGTAAATCCCTACCTGCTATGCTATCACTCCAGCCCACTCAGTGCTTTCTTATCCCTTAATCTCCCAAATAGCCCTATAGACCAGGCAAATCCTGTGTTTGCGTGTTAACAGGAGAAATCACTACTACATGACCCTATGATGAGGCTGGCAGCCCTCGTTGTTCTCCCATTATATAGAGGATGAATCTAAACTCAGGAAGAGTCAAGTGACTTGCTCAAGGCCACACTGTGATTCTAAGGGAGGGCCAGGCCAGTACCAATGCCCAAGATCTTACACACAAAAGCACACATGCCCTTATTCTGTCTTCTCCTCTTCTTAGTGAGTCGTTCAGTCCACCTGGAAGTTGTCAAGCACCCCGCATGCCCCATCACACATTATCTAGGGGCGCAAACAGGCTGGGGAATAACGGACACAGGTGTACTGTGCACGGGCCGCTCAGATCTCAGACTCCCATTACAGGCCGCTCATTACACAGGAGGACTTAGAGGTCACGCTTTCAAACCCCAGCCCCGCTCCACACTATCTGCTCCAGCATCGCAGCTCTCCACTAATAATCTCCATTTACATATTGTAAGATCTCACTGCACTATACTAGTTTCAGAACCACTCTTCCTACTGTTGAACAGGGTGGAGATAGAACAGTAGAAATGGACAGTAGATAGGACAGTAGAAATAGTAAATGATGATAAAAAAAATAACTATATTGCTTATTTTATGGGTAGTAGTAGCAATATAACCACAAGTTCTCAACATACTCTTTTACTTTAATACTAAGTTCATTCATATTGCCCATTTGTTCATTCATTTCTTCATTCAATTAGTATTTATAAGTAATGATTTGTGAAGCAAATCAATGATAATCTTGTTGAAAGGAAATCTGATTACCTTCATTTTAAAATTTAAAATTAAAAATTTTTCAATCACACAGTTATATCTTAAATCCAAAAGTAACTTATTTTCTTTTGGGTATTCTTTTACTGCCCACAAGTATAGGACTGAACTTTGCTAAAGGCATAGCAAAAAAAGTATGTTTTGAAAGCAATTCCTATAATCACTTATATGTTCAAAAATAACAACTCCCTCTGGATATCTAACATGAGAAAATATACATCTTTATGATATTTATATGCATACAATAAACACTAAGGACTATGCTTGGAAATAAGGATTGGGATGTAACTAAGTGGTTACGGGCATGCATTGCATGCATAACACCTGGGTGTGATTGCTGGCACTGCAAGGAAAAAAAAGACTGAAAATAAAACAAATACTAAATTGTTATTGAGAGAAAATGACAGAATATGTAGTTGTTATATTATGAACTATGAGCTATAAAATAATATAAAAAACCATTACACTGTAACAAATTCATTACACTCCTAAGGGATGCAACTCAATGTTTATAAGAAATCAACTCTTGACCTCTTTAACCAATATTTCATTCAGATAAATGATATATGCCATAAACAGAAAAGCATAAATCCATCTGAGATGCAGATATAATTGAGTCATGCTCCAACTATGTGAGTCACACAACTGTTCAGGTTTTGCTTTGGGGCCACACTGCTCAGTGTTTATGACTGGCTCAGAGATCAGAAGTGGCAGAAATCATGATTTAGTATTACAGTTAAAAAACTGAAGTACCATGTTCATCTATTCTAACATGTTTTGGTTTTGTGTTTGTGCCACACCCAGTGGTTCTTGGGGCCTATTTCTGGCTCTGTGCTCAGGGGATCACTCCTGGAGATGCTCAGTGGACCATATATAGTGCTGGGGATTAAACTGGGTCGGCTGAGTACAAATAAGCATCATAACCCTAACCTTGTTCCATCTCCAGCCCATTCATCTCTTCTAATAAAGCTGTTGAGATTACAGTCAATCACTAAAACCTGTCTATATAAATTGCCCATAAGCATTTGGGTTGTTTGTATAGAGATAAATACACACACACACACACACACACACACACACACACACACACACACACACACACACATTCCCTACACCACTGAAAAGTATGGTTATAAGACCTAGAAGCTACTATACAGTCTTTGAAAGCAAAAATTCCTTCAATAAGTACTTAAGCATCTTATAAACTCTTTCTTAATATATGTAACTTAGCTTTCAAGCTGTGTAAACTTTGTCTAAAACTTTCAAAGATTAAGGAAACAAAGTTAACTTAGGTAAAACACTGTAAATGAAATCACTCCTTCAAACAAACAAAAGAATAAACTTCCTACTATTCTTGAATTTCTACTGAGTTACAACCTAAACATGTTTGACAATATAAACTAGCCTCTACTGTAGTTAAAAATAAAAAACTAAAGGCCAGAGGGTTAGTACAGTGGGGAGGGCGCATGCCTTGCATGTGCAGACCTGGGTTTGATCCCCGGCACCCCATATGGTCTCTGGAACTTGCCAGGAGTGATCCCTGAGCACAGAGCCAGGAGTAAGTCCAAAGAACTCCCTGGTGTGGCCCCAAAAACCAAAATCAAAATTAAAAATTTAGAAATTATCACTTGTATCTATTGAGAAGTAGTTTTTCAAATTTTAGCTGTTAGAGCAATTAACAGTCCTTCAGGACTATATTTATTTAACCTGCAATTAGTGGCCTATTATACATACTCACCTTCTAATGTTTTAATCCCTTCATCAACAAACTTCCTTGCAGCAGAGGGACTACAAACAAAGTAAAGTATCATCTCAATATTACATAAAATTTAGGATTTTTGTAACAAATAACCAACTTGTCAAATTCAACATAGAATAATTACTGAGTTTAGCAAGACTTGCTAAAACATTAAATGGCTACTTTGGTAATGTTCAATTTTATCTAAAGAAATTTCTTGAAACCTCAACCAATAAAAATAACCATGAACCTCAACTGAGAAAATCTAAGCAGCTATGTTTCATAATATCCAAATACTTTAAGGCACTTGAAAACTTCATTCAAATGAGATTTACTGGGAATCTATTATGTACCATATACTCATTTAGATGCTGAAAATACTTATATTCCAACTGGGGTGAAGACAGACCAGGGAGAAAGATAATAAACAGCTATATTAACAAACAAGAACTTCAAATTTATCATAATATTATTGGGTGCCCATTTTTATGGAAAGAGAAATTATTTCTGGCAATGGAATAAAATCGATTTCATAGCAGACATAATGTATAAGGGCTTTTACAATAGAAGCAGCAATTACAGAATCAGCTTTGGTTATGTAAGCAGCGGAGAATGAATTTTGTAATTAAATGGGAAAACTTACAAGCTGACAGGAAGCAGCATGTACTTTAGTTTGGGTAAGGGTGTGTGGATGATTCAGTGGTAATCCCAGAGCCACTGACACATGCCAAGCACAGTCCTAGGAGCTCTGCTGGTGGGAACTTCAGAACCTCAGTAGTGTGTAACATCCAACAGACTGCACTAGGTATTCATGACCCTTGGCAAGCACTGATGGCAGGCGTGAGACCACTGAGAAGTCAAGATATGAGCACCACAAACAAAGTGTGCAATTCCCTCATGAGTACCACACCGTAAGTGTGCGCAACTCCTATCAACACAACAACAACAAATGAAAGAGAATGGGAAAAATAAAACCAACCCTGGGGCCAGAGAGATAGTCCAGTGGGCAGGCGCTTGCCTTGCACCTGGCTGATCAGGGTTCGATCCCCAGCATCCCACATGGTCCTCTTAGTGCTGCCAGGAGTAATTCCTGTGTGCAGAGCCAGAAATAACCCCTGAGCACTACCATGAGTAGCCCAAAATCAAGACAAAAAACCCAACCTCATTTCTGCTGTCTACTTAAACAATAAAATAGTTCTTACCCAATCCCAGTAACTCGAGTCAGGAAATTGATAGATGAACTGGTATCATCCTGCCTAATCTTTAAGGGGAAAAAAAAGTAAATATAAACAATAGAATTATTGAAATGCTTTAAAGACCAACTTTTTCTTCTCTCCTCTTCATTTCTAGGCCACACCTGGCTGTGCTCAGGGACCACTCCTGGCCATGCTTGGACGCTGTATGGGCGCTGGGGGCTGGAACCTAGGCTGGCCCTGGGAAAGGCAAGCACCTTAGGTGCTGCTCTGTCTCCCCAGCCCAGACTCAGACCTTCTCAGGGAAATATATCAGTTTGCTAAGAGACCTGCAAGGACCTCGGTAACATAGATGGAAGCATCATATATAATGTTGGTGATTCCAGAAGAAATCACATGGCAGCTAGAGCTTAGCTCTTGAGTCAACAATTAAAAAAAAAAAAAGAATTCATGAAAAACCAAAACTGGCATTATCATCATTTTACAGTTTTATAAAATAAAATAAACCTTTAAAAAATTCTTGGGGGAATGGCCGAGATTAGAACCAGGAATTTTACTTCATGGCTTGGAGGCCAACCACACATGCTAAGGGAAAAGGGAGCTCAGATAGAGAAGGAAACACCAAATAAAGGTGTTGAGAGGATCCTCCCAGGATAGGAGAAACATGCGGAAAGTAGACTATAGACCAAACATGATTGTCACCCATTGCCTCTTTTGCAAACCACAACACCCAATAAGAGAGAGAGAACAAATGGGAATGCCCTGCCACAGAGGCAGGGTGGGATGGGGAAGATGGGGGGATGGGAGGGATACTGGGATCCGTGGTGGTGGGAAATGGGCACTGGTGGAGGGATTGGTATTTGATCATTGTATAATTGAAACCCAAGCACAAAAATGTGTAAGTCTGTAACTGTACCTCATGATGTATCACTATTAAAAATTAAAAAAATAATAAAATAAAATAAAACGTAACTTCAGACAATAAAAAAAATTAAAAATAAAAATAAAAGTATTGTTATTATAAGAAAAAAATTCTTGGGGGAGTTTAAGTATAGAAATTCTAAAAGATAACAACGTAAGGGGCCAGAGAGAGACTACATCAGTTAAGTCACTTGCTTTTCATGTGGCTGACCTGGGTTTGATACTCTATACTTTACGTGGTCCCTAAGCACCTCCAGGAGTGATCCCTGAACACAGAGTCAAGATTAAGCTCTGAGCACCACTGGATATGACCCCCAAACAAAAAGACAACAAATAGTTAAATTTACAATCTCCTTCTAAATGTTACTAAAAGAAGAGTTCGTGATATCATGGGGCTAGAGCGATAGCACAGCAGTAAGGCATTTGCCTTACAAGCAGCCAACATGGCCGACCTGAGTTCGATTCCTCCGCCCCTCTCGGAGAGCCCGGCAAGCTACCGAGAGTATCTCACCTGCACGGCAGAGCCTGGCAAGCTACCTGTGATGTATTCAATATGCCAAACACAGTAACAACAAGTCTCACAATGGAGATGTTACTGGGCCCACTCGAGCAAATTGATGAACAACGGGAGGACGGTGACTGGTGACTGTGATATCATAAATATTAATGAAGACTTACTCCTGACTCTATACTCGGGATCACTCTTAATGGGGCTCAGGGGACCAAACTGGGTGCCAAGGATTGAACCTGGGTTGCCTTGTGCAAGGCAAGCACTCTGCCTGCTAAACTACCTTTCCAACCTCAGTATTCAAATCTTAAACAATAGCATAATTTAAGTCATAAACTCCTCTCCTCTTGCCTTCTTGTCTGACCAAAATGATATTAGTCATCCTGCAAAGGTACATATAATAGTTTCCAAAAGGGTAGGTATTACAATCAACATAAGCAAAAATCTTACCTTCTCCAGTTTCCGCAATTTTCCAGTTGCTAAAAACTCATCAATCTTTTCAGCAATTTTTGTCCCTACTCCAGGCTGTATAGAAAAGATAAAAATTATAAATATAATGCTAACAAATCACTGTAAGTATAAAACAAGAAATTACAAACACTGCCAGTTTTAGAAAAAAGGATACAAAAACAGCCCCAGGGAGAAAAAAATACTCTCTCAAAAAAATAAAATGTCTGCACAACTGCCCAGAGCAGCTTGACTGTGTCACTCCTGCAGGTAGGGAGAGGGACAGCCGGAGAGCTGGCTCCAGGGGGCAGAAACATCTACGTGAGTAACTAAGTGCCCTGGAAAGATTTCTCTCCAACAGCGGCTCTGAGTGGAAGCAGGCTGGTTGTCGGGCAGGCCGGCTGGGGGCCTGGTGAAGAAGGGCGGGGCACGGGGGCTCCCTCCCCAGGTAGCACAAGCTTGTGTGAATGAATGGGGATCTTCTGTCCATTGGGCACTACAGTGGGGGGCAGGGCATATTATGGAGGCAAACCTCCCCGAGTGCTAACAGACTGGAGACCTAGGGTCTATGCCCCGGGGCAGGATCTGCGAGACTGGTAGCTGCAGCCCACCTAGAGCTCCCAAGCCAACCGGGAGCAGCCCTGGCTTTGATTCTGGTCCCTGCTGGGGTACCATCTGCTGCTGCTACTGCCACTGGGGCCCAGAGGACGCACCACCACTGGCAAATCAACCTAGACAAGGGGGATGAGGGGCTGGCATCGGCAGCCTGATGGTACCCTCACTCTTTCTGACACCACAACATTACCTCTATGCCTCTAGCCGGACCCCAGCAACTCAGGAACAAGTTTTCTGAGAAATTAAATTGTCAAAATTTTGGTATGTGGGAGCCAGGCCCACAGACCACTTCCATCTCAGCCTTATAAGCTCATATATCCACCTTGCTCCAGAGACTCATAAATAAAAGAGATTAAAAGTTGCAGAAGATCTCAAACCCGTGCAAGGCTGAACAGGAGTAAACCAGAGTGGGGCAGGTTTACCTGGGTCCCGCCCAAACAGAGGCCCCAGCAGCTGCTTGATCCCAAAATCCAGACTACCACCACGCCTCCAGCCAGGAACCACCAACCTCATGGAGATAGTAACCTGCTGAAAATTCAGGTCTAGCAGGTATGGTGCCGCCAGGAGGTCAGTCTGTACCTGTGAGGCAAGTGCATCAGCAGCCTGATGGCGCCTTCAGACTTCCAGATGCCCCAAAATTGCTGCTGTGCCTTTGGCCAGACTCCAAAAACTTGGGGTAAAGTTTACCAAGAAAGTAAACTGCCAAAAGTTAGGTATGTGGGAGGAACACCCACAAACCACCTCCAGCTCAGCTGTATAATTGGAGGCATGGCCTATCTGGCTCCTGATCAAGTTGTTTAATGGCCACGGTCCCAGAGACTCAGAAACAAATCTCGAAATCCAATGGCCTTTGGCAGAAATGCATCTGGTCCCTCCAGTAGGTTTCCGGCACCGGGCCACCCCAGGTAGAAACAGGTTTTGTGCCTTGCCCTGTTCACCCTGGCAGCTCAGTAGCTGTCATCCTCCAGAGGCCACTGGACAGTCAGGTTTGGGCCCACAGTGACAAGACACGTGGGGCCTCACGGGATAGGGGTGGAGCCGGCCCTTTCCTCCCTGTCCCAACGAGACCCCGAGTTGCCGCCCACGAACAGCCTCTCTGGAACCTGATCAAGCTGCTTAACGGCCATGATCCCAGAGACTCAGAAACAAATCTCGAAACCCAATGACTTTTGGCAGAAATGCGTCCGGTCCCTGCAGCAGGTTACCAGTGTCGGGCCACCCCAGGTGGGAATAGGTTTCATGCCTTGGACTGTTCCCCCTGGCGGCTCAGTGGCTGCCATCCTCCAGAGGCCATTGGACAGTTAGGTTTGGGCCCTCAGTGATGAGACACTAGGGGCCTCACGGGATGGAGGTGGAGCTGGCCCTTTCCTCCCCACCCCAATGAGACCCCAAGTCGCCACCCATAAACGGCCTCTCTGGCCCCTGATCAAGCTGCTTAATGGCCATGATCCCAGAGACTCAGAAACAAATCTTGAAACCCGGTTGCTTTTGGCAGAAATGCGTCTGGACCCCACAGTAGGTTACTGTCGCCAGACCACCCCAGAGGGGAAAGGGTGCTGTCCCTCCGCCTGCTACCCCTAGTCAGTTCGATGGCTGCCATCCTCCAGAGGCCATTGGACAGTCAGGTTTGGGCCCTCAGTGACGAGACACGCGGGACCTCACAGGATGTGGGTGGAGGCAGCCCTTTCCTCCCCATCCCAATGAGACCCCGAGTCATTGCCCACAAACAGCCTTTCTGGCTCTTGATCAAGCTCCTTAACGGCCATGATCCCAGAGACTCAGAAAAAAGTCTTGGAATCCAGCAGGTTTTGGCAGAAATCCCTCCAGATTTAAGTGTTAAAATTTCAGAATTTCAAAATCGCGCAGCCACTACTGCAGCCATGCGACATCATATGTCATTCATAACCAGCAATAAAACACAAATTGTCCACTAGTGCCTTTTCAGCAGATCTTAGTGTTGGGGTAAAATACCAAATGATAATGGTGGGCCTGGTGTCAAAATATTGAATGCAATCAAAGTGGAGAGAGAGAGTAATGTGGAAATCATCTGCCCCAGAGGCAGGGGAAAGGTGTGGGATGGGAGTATACTGGGGTTTTTGGTGGTGGAGAATGGGCACTGGTGAAGGTACGGGTGTTTCATTGTATGACCAAGACTTAAACCCAAAAGCTTTGTAACTGCTCTCATGGCAATTCAATAAATAAAATTATAAAAAATGGGGAAAAAAAGTAAGGTGGAGTTCATGCCCAATTCAATCAGCTATCAGTGGCTGAATAAAAAGCAGTACTCCTACATTTAAAAAAAAAAAAAAGAAAAGAAAAAGAAAATTCAGGTCTGAGAGTTTTGTGACTGAAATCTCCAGGCTTTCTTAGGGTCAGGATGGGCTACCTCCCCCCAGCTCGCTGTGCCTCTGGAAGCTGTGGCAGTCACCCCCACAAATCAGCACTAGTGGTACCATATAAGCTCTTCTCCTGGCCCTGCTTCAGAGACCCATAAATCAATCTTGAAAGAGATTAAGCTGCAGTTAATCTTGGACCCGTGCAAGGCTGAACAAACAAGCGTAAATCAGAGGGGGGGCAGTTTGCCTGGGGCCTGCCAAAACAGAGCCCCCAGTAGCTGCTCGCTCCCACAATCCAGATCACTGCCATGCCCCCAGACAGACTCCACCATCTTGGAGTCATTAATATTGCCATATTAATCTGCCAATAATTCAGGTGTGCAGGTTTTATGACTAAAATCTCTCTTGGCTTTCTTGGGGTTGGGACAGATACCCCCCCCCCCCCACCTCCCTGTACTTCTGGAAGCTCCAACAGTCACATCCAAACCCCAAAGCTGCCACCAAGTTAAAAAAAAATCTACACCAGATGTACCTTCCTGAAAAAATACTGAACATCGTGAACAAACACAATGACCTCTTAGCAAGTACCTGCATTGCAAACCATAATGCATAAAAAGAGAGAAAGAAAGGCGCCTGCCATAGAGGCAAGGTGAGGGATGGGGGGAGGTGTTGTGTGGGGAGGGAAACTGGGGACATTGGTGGTGGGAAGGCACACAGGTGGAAGGATGATGTTGGAACATTGTATGACTGAAACCCAATCATGATCAGCTTTGTAATATCTGTCTCAGGATGATTCAATTAAAAAAAAAAAGAAACATGGTAAGGGAACAGAAAATAATTAATGAAAGTAGACCCTGAGACTCTACATTATAGAAACTGAGTCTATTAGTATTAGGAAGAAAAGGGCAGGAGAAAATAGTGGTAGAGAGTGGAATGTTGGGACTTTGGTGGTAGGTGTGATACAGTGACACTGTGTACCTAAAATATTAACACTATTGTTAAGTCACGGTACTTCACTTTTAAAAAGTCAGGGAATGAATGAGGTGATGAGACAAAACTAAACCAAGTGCAGAGGTGAAAGGTCCATAGTGCACTGGTGGTAGTAAAAAGTCCTCTAACAGTGTACACCAAGGCCATCACTGCCGATCAACAAAAGTGTGGGAGGTGGGGTAGGAGGACTGTAAGGAGCATCCCGTAAGGCCCTGGCAAACCACTCTAGGGACTCACACCTGAGTGCAGAGTCAGGCATAAGCCCTGAGCACAGCCGTGTGTGTGTGTGTGTGTGTGTGTGTGTGTAATGCTTTGTACCTATTAGAATGCCATTATAAAAAGACAAGAGCTAACAAATATTGTTGATTATTGGTGGAATTATAAACTGGTACTGCTACCATGAAAAAAAAAAAGTATAGTGGACTGGAGCAATAGCACAGTGGGTACGGCCAGACTATATGATTCTGTGAACTGTGGGCTGGGCTGGAGTAATAGCACAGTGGGTACGGTGTTTGCCTTGCAAGTGGCCAACATAGTCGACCCAAGTTCGATTCCTCCGCCCCTCTAAGAGAGCCTGGCAAGCTACCCGTGACGTATTCGTATTTGATATGCCAAACACAGTAACAACAAGTCTCATAATGGAGACGTTACTGGGCCCACTCGAGCAAATCGTTGAACAACGGGAGGACAGTGACAGTGAGTAATAGTGAATCCTCAAAAAAATCAAAACTAGGAGGCTGGCTCTTGCTTTGCACTTGGCTGACCCAGGTTCAATCCCCAGCACCCCAAGTGGTCTTCTGAGACCAGCCAGGAGTAATCCCTGAGCACAGAACCAGAAGTAAGTTCACACAGCCAGGTGTGGCCCCCCCAAAAAAATAAAAATTAGAACTATTATACCTAGTAAACACAGCTTCAGAGAGGCATATACAGGTTAATGCAAAACCAACAGATTCATACATGTGTGACATCTTCAAACATCTTCCTTACTACACTCACCAATTTCTTAGCTTCTGCTCCACTCTTTATTTTGTGTGGGTACTTTGCTATCACAGACGCTGCTTTTCTATAAGATAGGAGAAAAAAAATCAGTTAGAATTCAGTCCTGTAAGGTCTAATCCCCTTACATTGCAATACACATAACAAGCAGCTCTCACCAGATAAATAATTTTCTAGCTTATGTAAAATCATCACTGTATTACTGTATCACTGTCATCCCATTGTCCATCGATTTACTCGAGCGGGCGCCAGTAACGTCTCCATTCATCCCAGCCCTGAGATTTTAGCAGCCTCTCCTTACTTGTCTTTCCCAACGCTGCCATATTGGAGGCTCTTTCAGGGTCAGGGGAGACCTGCTATTGTTACTGTTTTTGGTATATTGCATACACCACGGAGAGCTTGCCAGGCTCTGTCATGAAGACGGGATACTCTCGGTAGCTTGCCAGGCTCTCCATGAGGTATTTATATAGAAGTAATAACAAATAATGCTTAGAAACTCAATTCTTCATTCTACTCTAGTATAAAGTTTTGGAACTGAACTGGTCATCAGTTATATGCTAAGACAGAAGCTATTGTCAGTTATATGCTAAGAGAGAAGCTATCATCAATTATATGCTATGAGAGAAGCCATCATCAGTTATATGCTTCTCTCAGAGAGCAGCATATAACTGATGATAAATCTGAAAAAGGAGGGAGAGGGAAGTTTGTAAACGGAAATTTTTATTCCATAAAGGTTAAGTAGTTTCAGGTAATTAGAACTGTGACCCAAAGCCTGAAAGTGAAGAAAAATTAGATCATAAAAAGTTTTTTGAATGCTCTGAGCCTTAAAGATAAAGAAGAAATATTTAAATATTTGATGTGAAAGAGTGACAGATCAGATAACTATTTTCAAACCAATACCCTTGCAACGGGGCTTGAACGATAGTACAGTGGGTAAGGCATTTGCCTTGTATACAGCCGACCCGGGTTCTATTCCTCCACCCCTCTCGGAGATCGCGGCAAGCTACCAAGAGTATCTCGCCTGCACGGCAAACCCTGGTAAGCTACCTGTGATGTATTCGATATGCCAAAAACAGTAACAAGTCTCACATTTTGTTGTGACTGCTCAAGCAAATCTATGAATAAAAGGAGGACAGTGCTACAGTGTTCCCTTGCAACAATCAAGAGAAATATATACTGAAGACGGAAGAAGTAGTCAGAGGTACTTTTCCAGACTTAATCACAACTCAGATAATGTTCACTAATAAACCAGAATTGGGGAACCCTTTTTTGCCAAGGACCACTTGGATATTTATAACATAATCTGTAGCCAGTATAGCAAGACAAGTTGCAACAAGGCAGCCAATGAGAACCATCATGTAGAAGGGCCAGACTATATGATTCTGTGAACTGTGAGCTGGGCATCCCTACCCATTTTAAGTAAATAGAGTTACTGACTTTCTAGAAAATGTTAGACCCCTTCATGTCTCAATGCCTTGGCATATTATTTTCTTTCCACACATTATTCTTTCCTTCACTTAATGAATACCCTGATAGGCAAGAGTAAACATCTTTTCTGAAGATTACTGCAACTCAAATAAGACATAGGATTGAATGTCTCTCTGATATATAGATCACCAAATGTGTGTATGACAGCCCAACTACTTCACACAGAATTCATTGTAAGGCAATGGAGGAGTTAGTTACAATCAGTTTTGGATTACGTTGAATAGGAAAAGAAGAAATTGAGTTCAGTTTGGAAGAGAAAAGACAAAAAGAATATAAGCTTAAAACCACAAAGATTCGAGTGAACTAGAGATTTGGAATTACAAGGAAAAGTAAGGTCATAGAAAGTAGTAAAGAAGAGAAAGCAAAAAAACAGAATTATCTGAGAACTATCAACATTAACAAATAAGACAAAAGAGGTGAAGAATAGAAAGTTATGTCTTCAAGTAAGTCATGGAAAATATTTTGATGAAATGAGCTAGTGGTGAATGCAATCAAAAGTCCAAAAGATGAGGAGTAGAATTTTCAGAAGAATGGTTAAATAGAACTTACACTACAATAAAATAAGAAATGAGCAGGGTTGAGGTCATTCAGACAAGTAACACGTTACTTAAGAAAGTTAACTAGGAGAGACAGGGGTCTACTAGAGAGAAGCAAAAATGACGGCTTTGTTCCCGCCTTGAAGAACTGAGGGACTCTGACCTGCTTAAAGGCCGAGGAGGAGCAGGTGGGTGGGGGGTTAATGGCTAGGACAGGGTATCCGTCCATGGACATGGACAGGAGACACAAAACGGCGACTGGGCCAGTGCAATTTCCTACATGGAAATTACTTGATTAGATTTGGAATGAAGAAAGAGCTCAGACGGGGGTCTCTGGGATTCCCAATGTTAACAGGTAAGAAAAGAACTAGACTTGGTTACTTGGACCACGTCTATTTCACAGAACAGACGTCATCAAAAGCATACTGCACTTTCAGGACCTCACGAATGACGATCAGAAAATAATGCCCATTTCCAGTCAGCATCTGGGGAACAGGGCTGAAGGGATGGCACAGGGAGAGGCCCCGCTGGACGCCCCTGGGTGCCCCGGGCGGGGCAGGCAGATGTGACTCGACCCAGAAGCCAGACAGTCCCACCTGTAGGCGTTGGCCTTGTGGATGGCCTGGTTCACGTTCTTCTCGAAGTTGGCGAGCTCTGCAAGGGGGGGGTGGGAGGGAGGCTGGTCAGTGGACACACGGAACTCGGCTCCCACATGGCCAGGAGAGAGACCGAGGCAGTGCCGGGGAGGGGGACGGGACGGCCGGGACCCGGGAAGGGGGACGGGGCAACCGGGACCGGGACCTGGGGAAGGGATGGGGAACGGAGGCAGCTGGGACGGGAGGGGGGGGCGGGGGACAAGGGACAGCAGAGACCCGGGGGAAACAGGGGACAGCAAGGACCCGGGAGGGTCAGGAACAGAGGGACCGGGGGGTGGGTGGGCAGGGGACAGCAGGGACCCGTAGGGGAGCAGCCGGAACACGAGCCCGAGAGGGACGGAGGACAGCGGGGACCCGAGGGGACGGGGGAGCCGTGATCCGGGGGCAGCGGGGGCAGCCGGGACCCGAGGCGCCGGGAGGACAGCAGGCTCGGCCGGCTCACCGATGAGCATGTCGGTGATTCCCCCGTTGAGCGTCTCCTGCGGCGCCTTTCGCTTGCTCATGGTGGTCAGCAGCGCGCCGGGTGGCCGCGGCGGCCGGCCGGGCCCCTCTCAGAGAGCCAAGGAGGGGCGGGGCCTGCAAGGGGCGGGGCCACGGCGGCGCAGGCGCGACCCGCCCAACAATGGCGGCCCGGGGCTCGGCGCCGCGCGGTGACGTCACTGCAGACGCCGGGGCGGGACGGGGCGGGACTGAGGGGCGGGGCAGCGGCGGGGTTGGGCGGGGCTGTGGGCCGGGTGTTCCAGGGCTTCCTCCCAGCTGGTGGACAGCCTGTGCCTGGAGTGCGCCGAGGTGGTACACCCGTGTGTTCGTTTTCTTTCAGCTATTGGCGTTTGCAGTATTTATGATGGCTTCCCTTACCGGGCTCGACACCACTCCCACCACCGGGAAACCTCCCTCCCTTCCCGAGAGTCCCAGTACCCCGCCCCAATTGACCCGCGCTGCCTTTGACCATTCGTTGCTGTCGTGCTGAGTGTCACCACACAACATTCTGAATGGTTCTTTCCTTCTGGCTGCACACAGCATGCTATCTCTAGTTCTTTCCATGTTCTTTCCATGACACAAGTTTGTTCTTAACCTGCACAGTATTCCACTGTGTAGATCCAGTACAACTTTCTGAGCCTTGCAGCTGTAGTTGGGCATTTGGCTTTTTCAATATTTTGCCAACTATACTAAATGCTGTGATGAACACAGATGTGCATATATCCCTTGGAATTAATGTTTTTGTGTCTGGGGCATGGATGCCAAGAAGTGATATCACTGGGCTGTATGGTAATTTCATTTAGATTTTTTGGGTAGATCTCCTTATTGCTTTACATGGAGACTGAACAGATGACTTTCCACCAACAAGGAATAAGGTCTCCATTCTCACCAGAACCCCGATAACAATGGCTGTTTCCAAACTTTTTGTTATGTGTTAATCTTATGGGAGTGCGATGATATCTCAATGTTGGAAAACCTGTATTCCTTTTATTTATTATCATTTATATATTTTTTATTAGTAAAACACCATGAGGTACAGTTGTAGACTTACAAATTTTTGTGCTTGGATTTCAGTTATACAATGATCAAGTACCCATCCCTCCACCAGCTCCCATCCTCCACCACCACCAAGTCCCAGCATCCCTCTTACCCCCCATCCTCCCCATCCCAACCTGCCTCTGTGGCAGGGCATTCCTTTTTGTTCTCTCTCACTCCTTTTGGGTCCTGTGGTTTGCAAGAGAGGCACTGAGTGGCAATCATGTTTGGTCTATAGTCTACTTTCAGCATGCTTCTCCCATCTTGGGAGGATCCTCCCAACACCCTTTATTTGGTGCTCCCTTCTCTATCTGAGCTTCCTTTTCCCCTAGCACGTGTGGCTGGCCTCCAAGTCATGGAGCAAAATTCCTGGTACTAATCTCGGCCACTCCTGGGTGTTAGTCTCCTATTATGTTACTTTATGTTCCCCAGATGAATGCAATCTTTCTGTATCTATCCCGCTCTTTCTGACTCATTTCTCTTAACATGATACTTTCCATGTAGTACCACTTGTATGTAAATTTCATGACTTCATCTTTTCTGACAGCTACATAGTACTCCATTGTGTAAATGTACCAAAGTTTCTTTAATCAGTCATCTGTTCTCGGGTACTCAGGTTTTTTCCAGATTCTGGCTATTGTAAAGAGTGCTGCAATGAACAAATAAGTGCAGATGTCACTTTGACTATACTTTTTTTGCCTCTCTGGGATATATTCCCAGGAGTGAAAACCTGTATTCTTAGCGTGAAGCATTATCTCAGTATTCCCAATACATTTCTCTGAAATCCTCACCTGAGAGTGGGGAAAAAATGTATCCGAATTTGATTCTGAAGTTGAAACTTCAGGTGGGCGGAAATGTAAGATAGTGGAGCAAAAGCTAGAATGCTTCTTACATATATCATATATGCACAGAATGGGAAGTCATTGAATGCATGATGAATTTAATACATTCATTAAATAAATGTATTAGGCAACACCAACCCATTCCTACTGTCAGAACTTTCTGAAAACCAAAGTGCAGACCCTGTTACAGTGGTCCAACGGAGTTCTTCCAGCCCAGAGAGCTGCAAGGCCCTGATATGAAATATGCAGATAGAAAAAAATCTTCATTACAAAACATTTACAACAGCTGTGACAACCAGCTCCAACAGATGTTTATTTTTAAACTCCTTTGCCTTTTGCAGTTGAAAAAATCTGAAGGAGAATTCCTAATTTAGATAATGAGGACTGAAAGTCAAAATATGATGTATATCTAAGAAAAGTACAATTCTGCTTGAGAAGTGGAAATATGACTTTATCACGATTTATCTTACAAGCATAATTCCTAGAATTCATATGTAACTGCCAATTACAGGCTTTTTGTGTATGTGTAAATAAAGCAAATGCTTATTATAATGCTGATACATGGTTACTATAGAAAAATCTGAAAAGTGTATAAAGGGAGAAAAGAAAATTGAGTCTTCTAATCATGTCCTTTAGGAATATTCCCATTATTTTTCAATAATAAAATTTAAGGACCGGAGCAATAATATAGAATGGAGGAGGTTTGCCTTGCACAAGGTCAACTCAGGCGCGATGCCTGGGGTCTCACGGAGCCCTCCAAGACTGCCAGGAGTTCCCTGAGCACTAAGCCAGGAGTAAGTCCTGAGCACCTCGGGGGTGGCCCCAAAGCCAAAATAAATAAGTAAAACAATGGTTTTGAGACTTTCCTTATTGGAAAGTATCAGGCTGGAGAGTAGTAGAGCAAGTAGAGCAAGTAGAGCTCTTGCCTTCACACACACAGTTTTGATCCCGACACTCCATAAGTCTCCTGAGTGCAGAGCCAGAATAAGCCCTGAGCACCAACTGGTGTGACCTGAAAACCTAGAAAAGAAAAGAAATTAATTTTTTTTTTAATTTTCAAGGCTGTCATTTCGTTGTTTATTTGTTGTCAGTTTTGTTTTTGAACCACACTCAGCAGTACTCAGGGATTACTCCTGGCTCTATACTTAGGGATCAGCCTGGAAGACCAAATGGAATCCTGGGAATTGAATCTCAGATAGTCATGTGCCAGTGCTGTACCTGCTATACTATCTTTCCAGCCCCAGTTCTCATTGAGTTTTATCTTAATAGATCAGCATTTTTAAGTTATGCTTATTGGACATTTGTGTTTTCACATTTTCTAATTTCCTACTTGTAGACTTTTTTCCTTTTTTTTTTTTTAGTGGGAGTAAAGGCTTATTTGTTTTTAAAAATCTTTTACTATTTTAAAGATATGTATTACTACCAAACATTTTTTCATTTTGAATCTGTATTTAGGTAAATATCTTATTTTCCCTGTTTATCCTGTTATCGAGAATAAAACATGCATCAGGAATAAATAAATCACTGTGGAAGTAAGAACAGATGAGGGAAGAGAATTCCCAGGGAGCAGGGTAAAGGGGACCTCCAACTAGTTTAGTAATCAGAAAGATATCAAATCAGCAATCAGAAGAGCCACCAGTGAGAATGAACAGGGTTAGAGCAGGTGAAAAGTGTGAGAAACTTCCTATAAAGAAGACATGGCACAGTGTATATTAGTGGGCAAGTGCATACACAGGAAGCTGATGTCCAACACAGTTAGATACCCAGGTGAGAATCAGTGTATGCTAGACTGTGGAGATTAGACTAGTCACTGGAAGGTTCAGATCTTATAGACTTTGTGATAGGCCTCTGGAAGGGTTCAATTGACATTTAAAATTTTTCATTTAGCAAAATCACTCTAGTTGTGCTATAGAGGAACCAAAGGACAAAATCACTTTATAGCCAAAGTCAAATTCTCCATTAAAAGACTGGTGGGTCTGGTGTCAAAATATTGAATGTAATCAAAGTAGAGAGTAATGTGGAAATCATCTGCCCCACAGGTAGGGGGAGGGTGCATGATGGGGGGGGGGTATACTGGGGTTTTTGGTGGTGGAAAATGGGCACTGGTGAAGGGACGGGTGTTTCATTGTATGACCGAGACTTAAATCCGAAAGCTTTGTAACTGCTCTCACAGTTATTCAATAAATAAAATTATAAAAAAGGGGAAAAATTAAGGTGGAGTTCATGAATAATTCAATCAGCCTAATCAATGGCTGAATAAATAGCAATACTCCTACATAATACTCCAGTCTCTGTGCTAGCCCTGCTCCAAATGTGCCTCCTAAAGACAGTGCTTCCTAACAGAACTTCACTGTTCACTATAGCAGTCACTTCAAATGCTGCTCTTACTGACATTTAAAATGAAAGTAAGTTTTCAGTTCTTCAGCTGCACTAGACACATTTCAATGTCAACATGTGGTTTGTGGGGCTGGAGCAATAGCACAGCGGCCTTATAGCACATTTGCCTTACACGCAGCCTACCCAGGTTCGATTCCCAGCATCCCATATGATCCCCCTAAGCACCGCCAGGAGTAATTCCTGAGTGCATGAACCAGGAGTAACCACTGTGCATAGCTGGGTGTGACCCAAAAAGCAAAAAAAAAAAAAAAATGGTTTGTGGCTACCTGATTGGACACTACAGATTAATTTTCCATAATTTTCCATACAAAGTTCTATTGAACAGCAATTTTACAGAAACTTCTTTAATGAGATCATCCAACTTTATGCCATTATTTGCTTAGAGCATTGAAGATGGAGTTGAAATGACACAGGTGGTAAAGGATTTGTAAAGGATTTGCGATCTAATATTTACTAATCTGGGATGGTTACAGATAATAAAGCTAAAATCAGCATTGCTGAATAGAAAATTACTAATTTACACTGAGTGTTTATAAATATGCAGAGTGATTTATTTCTAAATGATCATGCAACATTCCCATAATCTTTTAATTTCTACTACTCTCCTCCTCTCTTCACCTCAACACTTTTCCCACTACACTACAGTCCATACACTCACCTCAAAACTCATCCACAACTGAGTTTTTTCATCCGAAGACCTTTTAAAACTTTTTAAATTATAGATTCACTGAAAGCTACAAATAATTACAGGCCTACAGGAAGTCTCAAATATATTATAGAGAGGTCCCAGGTATCTTTCTCCTATTTTTTTCCTTAATGTG